CCCTGTGGAGCTACCATGACGTGGATTGCTCTCAATATTGCAGATTCTTCCTGCAGAGCAACATCTGTCAAATTTTAGTATATATCTGAATATCCTATAGGGTTTGTTACGACACAGATTGCTGGGCTCCAGCCTCGACGTTTCCAAATCATTTCATTCGGGTGAGACCTAAGGATTGGCATTTATAACCGATTCAGTTAGTCAGAGAGCATACATTGAGGACTATTGCTGTAGTACTTTCTGGGACAGACTTTAGCTTTGTCTTTTATTCATGTGGGTTTATTTCTCGTTCTTTCTTTTTAATTTGACAGAGGGCACGTGCAGAAAGAGACAGAGAGAGAAGGCGAGAAAGCCCTCCCTGTGGCGAGCAGTCACGCCACAATCCCTTCTCTTCCTTTTGGGATCTGTAACATGCATATATGCACCCAATGTGTTTTTCATGCTGTCAGGTATGGGACTTGAACTGCAAGTTCATCCTGGGATCCAGCTGCTCTAACCACCACTCCACAGGCTGGCCTGGTTTCTTGCTTATAGAGGAGCTGAAATGTCTGAGGTTTTCTGAATTTGTCTGTTGTTTTCTTGGGGAGAAGGGGGTAGGAAGGTTAAATGAAAGTTGGATGGGAAGGTGAAATGATTCTGAGGGTATCAGACAACAGTCAGCCTGCTTAAGTGGAGAAGTTGATCATTTATTTGAACTTGGTGCACTGCCAGGTCCATGCAGAACACATCAAAATTTGTATTAAAAGAGACCACCAGGGCATGAGTGCTTGTTTCATAACATACTTTTTCCTGTTTTTATACTTCATAAAAATTAAACCTTGTTCTAGAATCTGTGACTGGGACTCCAGAAGTTGAGTCAACCCTATTATTAGTTCTTAGAATGTGGTTTTTGCAGTCCTCTGTCTAGTAAAATATGGGAAGTATAGTTACCTTTCCCCTGGAACAAAGTTATTATTACTTTTTTTTTTTGAGAGGTTTTTGCTATAGGGCATGTGCACTCACCAGACAGACAGAGAGACAGAGAGACAGAAAGTGAGAAATCACCCCCCAGGGCAGGGTGGCCATGCCGCAATCCCTTCTCCTCCATTCTCCTCTTGGGATCTTGGGCACGCACGCACACGCGCCCGGCGTGAGTTTTAAGCCACCGGGTCCGGGACGCAAACCACGGTCGACTACACGGGAGTCCAGCAACATAGCCATTACGCTAACTGCTGATTCCCCTGGAACAAAGTTGTTTTTAACAATGAATGTTGGAGATGACTTTCCCCCCCGTTACCATCTTGGGGAGTAATTCGGTTGATGTGAGTGGACTTCCTCTGTGTGTGTCTTCACTCTGTTCCCAGTATTCCTGCACAGACTGGGTCAATCTCCATGAACTGTTGTTGTCTCTTAGTCCGAGGTTAACAACTGCAGTAGGAAAGCATGACCGGATCACTGACCTGGATTCTCTTAACTACGGGCTTATGGGATTAATCTCTGATGACCCAGAGCTTCAGTTTTTCTGTCTGTGAGGTGGAGATAGTATTTATCTCCTCAAACCAGCCTCACAAGGATATTGCAAAGATAAATGAAAATGACAGGTGTTTGAAAACAGAGCTCCTTAGAGGAATAGTTCTGCTATAGCTAGGGCAGTATTATGTCACACTTGCAAGACGTGTGAGGATGTTGGTAAAATGGACATCCCCGAAAGCTGTCCTCGAATGGCTGAGGAAAGACCTTGTCCTCCTGTTTATTATCTATACGGTCCAGTTTCTCGAGTCTGATGCTGTTTCTGCTCATTTAAGAAGAGGGTTCCGCGATTATTTCAATTGTGGGGGAGCATTCTGACAAAACAAGTTATTTTTTTCTGATGAACATGGTGAGGAGGGGGCAGTGGTGACAGAGTTTTCTATCCATATTATGTGTATCACCCTCCCCTCTTCTAAGTAGTGCAGGGCTCGTAGAGGTCTCTGGAACTTGAAAAGAAAACGGGTTCGAATCAACCAGTTTTGCAGGAGGAATGTACTTTAAAATATTTTCGTTTGCTCAGAATTTTATGTATTAACAATACAAAGTATTTACAAATGACTCCCTGTGGTTTACAAAGAAATAATACTTTAATAAGAGTATTAAAGTAGGATTTCATTGTATCTTGTTTAATGGGCACTGTTCTTAAAAAAATTATTTATTTAATTTTATTTATATTTTTAAAATTTTGCTACAGGGTACATGTGCTTACCAGAGAAAGAGAGAGAGGGAAAGAAGAGAGACAGATAGAGAGAAAGAGTGAGTGAGAAAGCAAGCTGCCAGGTTCAGGACACGAACTGTGATTGACCATGTGAGAGTCCAGCACCTTAACCACCATGCCACCTGCTGGCCCCCCAGTGGGCACTATTTTTAACTAATGAGGATGTCCATTAGTAATAGAATTTTTAATTAATAAACCAAACTAATAAACCAAACTGTTAATGTTAAACCCAACTCCTCTTCAATTTCATCTTATCCTTCTCTTTTCAGATAATTACTGGACATAAATTTTGCTTTGAGGATAATAATGTAAACATTTAATCACTTGAAGTTCATGGGTAATTTCTCTTTTTATTCATAGGAAAAATGGGAGTGAGAGTGTCTTTGAGGGAAGGTTTTACTTCTGAGAAATGGGAACTGGTAGGCTTCTTGTACCAAGTTATTCACTGCTTCTTCTGAGATAAAATTTTGTTTTTATTAGCTCTGATTCATAGGTAAAATTGCACAGTGAGAAAAGTGACTCCGCTGCAGCCATGTTTTTAAGTGAGGACTATTTTTTCAGTCTAGACTCTGTGATTTTGCTTATGTGGTAGCTCTGTAGACATGATAGTAAAGAAGTTATATCACCACCTTTGAAATAGAAGAGGGTCATTCCCCGTGATGTGTTTGGCCTAGATGTCTCGAAGTGATGCGTGGCAGAAGCCTGATGCAGTTCCTGGAAGAACAGAAGAAATGAAAGCTTACCCTCCCCCTCAGAAGGAGGCAGAATTCCAAGCCGCTGCAGGGCTGAACCAACAAGAAGTGGAACCCAAAGAGCCCGAGGAGCGTCAGATGGAAGAGGAGCACCGGAAGGCCCTGGAAGAGGAGGAGATGGAGCAGGTCGGGCAAGCGGAACATCTCGAGGAAGAACATGACCCATCCCCAGAGGAGCAGGACAGGGAGTGGAAAGAGCAGCGCCAACAGCAAGAGGCAGCCAACCTCCTGGAAGGGCATGTCCACGCACAGGTACGAGGTCACTCACTTCAGGTCTGCTGCGGGGCGGGATGTAGCTTTATTCTTTTTTAAAAAAAGAATTATTTTATTTAACTTTATTTATTTTAATTTGGCCAGAGAGGGACAGAGTGAGAGAGAGAGAGAGAGAGAAAGTGAGAAAGCAAGCCGCTGGGTCTGGGACTTGAACTACAGTTGGCCACATGGGAGTCCAGCACCCCTAACCACCACGCCACCTGCCGGCCCTGGCTTTATCCTTAAATATTAAAGGAAAAGCCTCTCATATATTACCAACTCTAAAATGTGGGTGCAGAAACATGATGCACATAGATTTAAGTTTTCTACTCTAGCTCCTTTTGTGGCTCAGAAAGATGATTGGCAGAAAGAGAAAGAGCTCCTGGTGTCATGCGTATGAGAGGTCTTCCAAAAGTGTGTGGAAAATGCATGTTATGAAGAAAGTACTTCTTCCTAAGAATGTATTTTTTTTTTTGCACCAGAATAAATGCATACTTCAATTTCGTTTTTCCCCACACATTTTGAAGTCCCTTCATATTCTTCCCTGTTTCAGCAGTGCACACTAAGATTCTCTCATCACCATATTTCTTTAGCAGAGTAGAATTAGCAAGAATCTCCTAGGGCACCTTCCAGCTCTGCATCCCGTGAGCATCTTGAGGCAGAGAAGGCTTATTTTGTGTGATCGGAGGTCCCCCTGCCCTGTTCACTTACTGTCAGTCAGTGTGTTGGCTTTTGCACATTTACCTTCCTGGTGGTTATTTAGTTCTCCGAAAGCTGATCTTGCCACTTGGAGTCCATTAGGTAAGTATGCTTACCTAGTCTCTGTTCAACCTCCTTTATTGGGCACACCTCTCTCACAGGTTAATCTTCCCTTTCTTAGAACATAGCCATTGTTATTACAAATGATACTTTAAAAGAATTTAAATGAAACTGCTGGGCATCTCTCTTCTGAACACTTTCTGTTTATAACGCTGAAACTATCATCGGTTTGGCCTCAGATTTTCAGAGACTGCAGGTTGTTTCAGGTTTTAGGTCAGAAAAGTAAAGGCCTCTGTGGTTGTCCCTGAGGAAGATGTGAACTTAGCCCCCAGCAACGATTCCCCATCTTGTGCCTTTCCCCACGAGGAGAAGTAATTCCTCATTAGGCTTGACGCTGCTCAACTCGCCACCCTTGGTGGGAATCGTGTGTGATGTTTATTGAAGGTGGTGGGAAGGACAGAGAGTAGCTCAAGAGGAAGCAGAATTTTAATAATTGGCCCCAGTTCGAGTCCCAGACCCGGTGACTTGAAAATCACGCTGGGCACATATGCCTCCATGTCCAAGATCCCAGGAGGAGAATGGAAAGGGGACTAGGCATGGCCATCCCTTCGAGGGAAGAGGTGACTTCCCACTGTCCCTCTTTCTGTCTCTCTCCAGCAAGCCCTCGTGCCCTATGGCAATAAAACAAAAAATCCAAAACAAGACAAAAAAGGATTGGCTGTATCAGACATTCCTTTTATCAAAGGTGTTATCCTCTCACCCATTAGCAGTTTCTTTGAAGAAAATTGGTACTCCGCTTTCCACTGGCATCTGACTTTCTGTTTACTCTGGGGCTGTGCTTAGCCTGAGACTGGTATGCGAATTGCTTCAGTTAATTAGCATCTCTGGGTCTTTAACTCTTCATGGAAAAACTGTTAGCTACAGCTTCAGTTCACAAATTGCCCAATTACTGTTGAGGTTACCAAGTGCCTGCTTGTATCAGAGCCTCGTGAACGTAACTTTAATTACACTCTGAGGCTGATTTATGCTGTCGTGTTCTCTGTCTCACTTGAGAGAGGAGCACATTAAAAATCTGCTTTAATGCCCGCGAGTCAGGAGGATCAGCTACTAAAGGAAGCCAGGGACCTGCCGGCTGGGAAAGGGGTCAGAGGACTGGGTGTGTAGTTGTGGTTCTCCTGACAAAAGGACGTTCACAAACCAGCCCGACGCCCAGGCTGTCCTGAGAAACACACTCAGGGGAAACCGGGAAACTGCTGGGCCGATCCCTCCTGCTCACTCCATGTTTCTGGCCCAGGCGGACCCGTCAGCCAAGCCCGTCACCAGATTCCGATCCCCTTACGAGGAGCAGCTGGAACAGCAGAGACTGGCCGCAAGGCAGGCCCAGGAGGCCCAGCGGCTGCGAGAGCACCAGGAGGCTCTGCAGCAGCAGAGGCTGCAGGGGCACCTCACCAGCCGCAGCTTCTGCCCAGAGAGGGCGGCCAGCAGAGGCAGGCCGGGCACGAGGCCGGGCACGAGGACGGGCAGCAGCGCCAAGAGCAGCTACGGTAGCCCTCCCTTCCCCTTCCCTTCTCTTCCCCTTCCCTTCCCTTCCCTTTCCCTTCCCCCTTTGCTTTCTTCCTATTTTCCTTTCCCTTCCCCTTCCCTTCCCTCCTCTTCCCTTCCCCTTCCCTTCCCCTTCCTCTTCCCCTTCCCTTCCCTTTCCTCTGTCCCTACCTCTTCCCTTCTCCTTCCCCTTCCCTTTCCCCTTCCTCTTCCCTTCCCCTTCCTCTATCCCTTCCCCTTCCCTTCCCTTGCCCTTCCCCCTTTCGTTTCTTCCTATTTCCCTTTCCCTTCCTCTTCCCTTCCTCTTCTCTTCCCTTTCCTCCTCCCCTTCCCTTCTCCTTCTCCTTCCCTTCCCCTTCCCTTCCCCTCCCCTTCTTCTGTCCCTTCCCCTTCCCTTCCCCTTTCTTTCCCTTTCCCCTTCCCTTCCCCTTCTTCTGTCCTTTCCCCTTCCCTTCCCTTTCCCTTTCCCCTTCCTCTTCCCTTCCTTTCCCCTTCCCTTCCCTTCTGCTCCCCCTCCCATCCCTCTTCCTGTCTTCCTCCCTTCCTTTCCCCATCTCTTCTCCTTCCTTTCCCCTTTCCTTTCTCTTTCCTCCCCCTTCCCTTCCCGTTCGGTTCCCCTTCCCCTGATGGCTTTAGGCTCCTCCTCTGGCTTTTATAAACAGATGAGACAGCTTTATGTATTTGTGATCTGTGAGGGTGAGATGTCACAGTGCTCATGGAGCCAGAGTGGGACAGCTACCTGAGCGTGAAATGCCAACTAGTTAATTTTAAAAATAATAGTTTTTTTCTATTTAAAAAAGATAGTCTAGGACCAGCCATAGAGGCACAGGTATCAGTGATGCTGATATGCGGGACTATCCTGGGTTGGGGTCATGTCCCAGTGGTCTTTCTGTATGTACCTGTCTGAGAGGGCTGAGGGTGGGCCCCAGCAAGGGGACCCTCTTGGGGTCTGTCTGTCCATCTGTCTCTTTTTCTTTCTCAGAAGAAATAAATAAAAGTAAAACTTAAAAAGAAAGTGATAGTTTAGGTCTAAAGATAGCCTAGCAGGCTTTGTGTTAACTTTATCATTGAAAGATACCTTACCTTGTTAAGATATGTTTTGAAATATATCTGAAACTTTTATTTATTATTATTATTATTATTATTGCTAAGAGGTGAGTATGCTCACTAAAGAAAGACAGAGAGAGACACAGAAATTTAATAAATTTCTTCCCCCTTCCAGAGGGAATGGACATGCTGCAATCCCTTCTCCTTCATTCTCCTCTCGGGATTTTGGGCACACAAACTTGCCCAGTGTGAGTCTTAAGCTTCCAGGTCCAGGACTCCTACATGGGAGTCCAGGAATGTAACCATTACGCCATCTGCTTGTCCCACATTCCTAAAGATTTGTTTTTAATTGGTTATGGCTTTTAAAAAATGTTGAAAAGTTTTGTTGATTACTATATCTAAAAATAGATAGTGTCTGTCAAGCTATGCCACCAACTTTGTTTCACTGATTGGATGATGTTCATACCCCTTGCAGGCAGCAGGCTCGTTATGATGCTATGGATAATGACATCGTTCAGGGAGCGGAGGACCAGGGAATCCAAGAAGAGGAAGGAGGTGGTGAGGCTTCTTAGATCACAAATGTGTTAATAAAACTGCTTGGTAGTCTTTTACAATGTCCGTGAGCCGACATTATATAATGTCCATGAACTGAATGCACACCCACGTAAGTGCGAGGAGGTCTGTGAATCACGTGTCTCTTGTCACTTCTGTCATTGTGATTTTCTTACTCCTCAAATGGTGCATACTGTGGCAAAAATTGCTCAGGATTGGGACCTGCAGCTGGCGTAGTGATTATGTCACTGGAATCCCATGTAGTTCACATAGTTCGAGTCCTGGACCAGGCGGCTTAAATTTACACCAGGCGTGTGTGTGTGCATGTCCAAAATCCCAAAAGGAGACTGGAAGAGAAGGGATTGCAGTGTGGCCATCCCCCGTGGACGGGGGTGATTTCTCGCTTTCTGTCTCTCTGTCTCTTGTCTCTCTGGCAAGCGCACATACCCTGTAGCAAAAATCTCTCTTAAAAAAAAATGCACAAGGTCATTTCTTTCCACTCTAACATTTGCCCCATAGTTTAAGCTTTTCATACACTAAGTAGTCACTTTTGAGTTATCATAGAACTATTCTGCTTGGGAAACTTCTACATTTCTCCTTGCTTTGGAAGCTTTGCATAATCGCCTTACAGTTTTTTGGTTTTTTTTTCCAAATTAAGTCAATAGTAGCTTTCACTCATGGTAAGCATCTAGCAGGTAATTTATCAAATATTGCTTACTGCGATAATAAAACTAGAAAATAACTGTCTCCCTGCCACCACTCACGCTTACATGGGTCTCTTTTTCTAAAAGGCATCTAAGGAAGGTGATAACACACTCCCTCAGTAGCCCGCTGTGATATTTTATGGCCCTCAGAGTCAAGAAATTGTTCTCCTTATATCCCCATGTGGCACTTTAAACTCTTGTTCTCATATCAGTACGATTAGAGAACAGCGTGTTCACTTCTTTATTTAATAAATTTTTTCGTACATTTGCAGCCTGATGGCAAGTTACCCTATAACTTTTGTTTTCTGTAAGCTAAATACTCTCCATGTGCTTACACTTTCTTCTTTCCTAGTTACTGGGTTGTCAGGAGAGTTGACGTGCTTTTTTGCATAGAAAAATATGTCATGACTTTCCTGATGACCTAATGTTATTTTTATTTTCATTTTTAAATTTCTTTTTTTATGCCAAAAGGTGCATGTATGCATGTGAGAAAGCGAGAGATAAAGAACTCCCTAGCAGGCCTGGGCATGGCCAGTCCCAGTTGTCCATCCTGTCACCTGTCAGGATCCTAGCACATGTGTGTATGCATGGCGGGTTTCGCAAGCCTCCGGGGCCAGGATTTGAACTCTGGCTGGTTGTGTGAGATCCAGTTTTCTTTGCAACACTTAACCACAACACTATAGAGTCAGCCCTTATATTTTGTTTTGAAAACTGATTGGTGGATTGGCCCATGGCCTGGTGGTTGACGCGGCTGGATCTTACATGGCCAAGTGCATGGCTCGAGTCTCGGACCTGGCAGCGTGAGAAACAAGCTGGGCACATGTACGTGCCCAAAGTCCCCCAGAAAGAGGGACACGAAGGGGGAGGGAATCCTCGAAAAAGGAGGAAATGAAGAAGGGATGGCTGCGTGACCATATCCTGACTCCCCGTCTCTCTCCAGCTAGTGCATGCCCCTCTGGCAGATTAAATAAAGGCAAACAAAGACCATTGTCCTTCTCTTTGTGTAGCCTTACAGTTCTCTTTATGTAAATATTGCTGTTTTAAATCAACAAGGAAAGGTCTGTGTGAGGATTGTCGCACGATGCGTCCGTGTCGTGGCAGCCGTGGCCTGTCAGAGAGCTTGCTCCAGGCTCTGTCGCTTTCTGAGCTCCGTGGATGGGATCGTTCTTTTTCTCATTTACCGGAACTTCAGTTTCTTCTTTTATAGTCCCACTATTTCGTTGATTACCAACTCAAAATCAGTCAGTTATTTCAGCAGGGTCCACACACTCGGGCTGATTGAGTGCCTCTGGTTTTCTAGCCTACGAAAGAGACAACCAGCACCAAGATGAAGCCGAAGACCCGGTTGATGGACGCGAGCCTCAGGAGCACGGACCCCGAGCAGCTGACCCCGAGTCGGAGGCAGATGTAAGTGTCCTTATTTCTCATCCTGACACTTGGAAATTCACACGGTGGGAAGGAAACTGGGACGTTGGCCCAACTCCATCCTCTGGCCCAGATTTATGTGTCACTTCGTCACCACAGAAGGAAGGTGGCGTGCGTGATTCTGTGTGAGCAGCGCTCTTCTCGTTCACCATGGTGAACTGTGCACGCCTGCGATGAAACTGGGGGAAGGTTGCCCTGGGAAAACAAGGAAGGATTTTCCCTGATGCCTTTCAGGCTGATAAGATTAAATCCAGAAAAACAAAATTGAGAAGTATTTAAATATATTGCAACTCTGAAAGACGGGTGGAAAAAGGCAGGTGTGGGAGTTAAAGGGGCACCGGAGGAAGGACATGAGCCCTTCTCAAGCACAGGAAGCAGCCTGTCAGGGCCTTAGCTGTGTCACGTGACTCTCCGTAGTCCCTCAGCAGTCCAAGGGCCATTTTAATGAACAGACAGGAACAGTTGTTAGATACCACAGTTGTATAGGAAATTTAGACTATAAATACATAGAGATCTAATCATAGAAATCTAATCTCCAGCATTATCCTTTGTTATTACAAAAAAAAAAAAAAAAAAGAGCCAAGATCCCCAATTTAGCTGGGTGCCTACAAGTTGGGCCAGCGGACGTTGAAGGAGTTATGTATACGTGGCTTCTACAGCTGAGCTCAGCTCCCCTTTCATCCTCTGCTAGTAAGTCCACCAGGTTTGTCACATGCAGCCCGTACTGTCCCGTGGGCCTTGTGTATGTTAATCCAGGGATTAGAAGGAGGCTCCAGGCCTTTCCTTGGTAATCGTCGAGAGAACCTCCCTGACGCCTGACCCTGCTTACAGCCCCCGTCATGGAGATGGCTTTCCACTTAACTTGCAGAGATGTGGCAGGACACCTTTACTTGTCGCCCTGCCTTCGCATTTCTGAAGCTATGCCCCAGGAATTCCAGTCGTGAAATATTTTTAGGAAAGAACAAGCGCTGGAGAGCAGGAGCATCTGTGAGGGTGAGAACGCCCACTAGAGAGTGAGAACACGCGTGTAAAGGAGCCATTGGGTGTGCATGAGGGGACGGGGCGGCTGGGGAAAGGCCGAGACACTGGGAACTGCTGTACACCTTGCTTACTTGACAGGGTGACCCTTTAATCTCCTGTCACCTGTTTGTTCTGAGAAATCCTCTGGGAAGCATCAGCCTTTCCACTATGCCTTTTTTTTTTTTTTTTTTTAAGTTTTTGCCATAGAGCACATGCACTCACCAGAGAGAGGGAAGGGGAGAAATCATCTCGCAGGAGTTACGGCCACACCATGTTCCTTCCCCCACATTTTCCTCTCAGGATTTTGGACATGTGCACATAGACACCCAGGGTGATTTTTAAACCACTAGGTCCGGGACTCGAACCACGGTTGACCATGGGAGAGTTCAGTCCCGTAACTACCACCCCACTTGCTGGCCCCTACCTTGCCTCCTTTTAATGAAAAATTGTTGGCGTCACTTGGCCCTGTATTCATCTCCTCTACTGATTTTCCTCGGCTGTGACAGCCGTGCCCATTCACCCGTACCTACTGTGTGGTTGGCACTGGAGGTCCTTGCATGTTTTCATGGACTTTTGCAAAAGGTAGTTGATCTGGGACCAGCAGTTAGCGTAATGGCTATGCCGCTGGACTCCCATGTAGTCGACCGCAGTTCGAGTCCCAGACTCAGTGGCTTAAACTCACACCAGGCGTGTGTGTGTGTGTACCCAAGATCCTGAGAGGAGAATGGAGGAGAAGGGATTGCAGTGTGGCCATCCCCCCAAGGGGTGATTTCTCACTTTCTCTCTGTCTCTCTCTGTCTGTCTGGCGAGTGCATGCGCCCTATAGCAAAGACCTCTCCAAAACAAAGGGGGGGGGGGAATAAAAGGTAGTTGATCCTTTTTTTCTGATGAGAATATGTTACATTCGTTCCCTGTATTTCCACATAAGCTACTGATAATGCACAAAAGGAAATTCATACAACAAAAGAGTGTGAGTAATTAGACTTCCCTGTCAAGGTGATGATTCGTCCCTGTCCATAGTCCAAGAGACGTGTCTGTCATTTGTACTTGACTGGCGTTTGTGGCCAGGGATGTGCAGAGAATAGTCAGCGGAGACTTCAATGAGCTCTTGAGCATGTTCACGGCTCTGAAGTGAATTGAAGTGGAATCTTGTCTGGAGCCCGCTGATAGGGACTAAATCCTGTCTGTGGCTGCATCGTCCTTGGAAGCATTTACCGCCTTAGTTAGTGTCCCATCGGTGACCTGGGGATGATCAGGAAGCTCAGAACAAGCATGGCTATTTCTGCCCCTCTCAGGCTCTAAAATCAGAATCTCTCAGAATACATGCTATTTGGAAGGTGCTCTGGGAGCTTAGGAGAAAAGTTAAAATCATTTTAAAGTTGAACATATAAAGGACATTTGTTGAACACAGTAACTGAGAACTACTTGGAGGACCGAAGGGTATTTTTTGAATAAACTGCTGAATATTGAGCAGCTCAGTCCTTTTCCCCATCTCTTGCAAGTACAGTGTCTTTGAGTTTGAGTGTCTTTGCTAAAGAAATTGGTTCTTACTAGAAATAGATAATGTATTTCTGAGTTAGCCTGTTTTTTTTTTTTTTTGGTCTCCTTTTCAGGTCCTGTTCTTGGGTCCTTTCTGGTGTGTCCTTTTTTCCCATTAATGACTCTTCACCTACTTACATGCTAAAAATTATTTGAAGGGAGGAGCTGGCAGGTGGCATGGTGGTTAAGGGCACTGGACTCTCACATGGCCGACCATGGTTTGAGTCCCAGACCTGGTGGCTTGCTTTATTACTTTCTCTCTCTCTCTCTGTCCTTCTCTGGTCAAATTAAAATAAATAAATACATAAGTAAAGTTAAATAAAATAATTCTTTTTAAAAAATTGCTTGGAGAGGCCAGCAGGTAGCATAATGGTTAAGGTGCTGGACTCCCACATGGCCTCCTGCAGTTCATGTCCTGAACCTGAAACTCACCAGCCACGCATACGTGCGTGTGTGCCCAGAATCCCAGGAGGAGAGTGAAGGAGAAGGGATTTTTGTGGCCATCCTCCTCGGGGTAATTTCTCACTTTCCCTCTCACTATCTCTGTCTCTCCAGTAAGTACACATGCCCTATGGCAAAAGAACCTTAAAAAAATGCTTCCACAGGGAGGTTGGCATGAAAATCAGCAGAGTAGTGCAGAGTTACGATTAGCCCTTCTAAATTTCCCATCTTAACTAGTATCGATTTTTTCCTTCTCCCTGCTTGGTCCTCTGACTTTTATTAGCTATTTCTCTCATCGTCTTTGCTCTTATTACATGAGTTAGCTCAATTTGGAGGATTATTTCGGAGACACATGTAGAAAAGAGTGCTGTTGGTACATTTCCTGCCTCACCGCCCTCTGACAAATAAAGCTGGGCTTTTATCTTTTTGACAGTGGGATGCTCGCAACTGGTGAGTCTTGGCAAGGCTATATCCAGGCGGTCTGGGGAAGGAGGACTTTATTTTCCAACAGTGGGTGGCCTTTCAAATGAAATTAAATTTGATCCTCAGTTTTGAAGGATGGTGGTTGCTTTTTATTAAAATTTTATAGAGAGCAGTTGAAGAGGATATAAACCCCGCAGATGACCCCAATAATCAAGGTGAAGATGAATTTGAGGAAGCTGAGCAAGTGAGAGAAGAAAATCTGCCAGATGAAAATGAAGAGCAAAAACAAAGCAATCAAAAGCAGGAGAACGCAGAAATGGAGGAGCACTTGGTGGTAAGCAGATGGCAGTAGAGAGGATGGATTTAACCTGGGGGCGTTCAGAATTGTCCGGTTTGTGTAAAAGGTTGGTTGTAACCTGCACTGACAGAAAGTTTGCCACCTTGGTGATGTTGGGGGCCATTACATCAGATACTGTGTGTGCTCACAGAGACAGCACCGATGGGGTTTTGTGCTGGAAACGAGAATTCCTCACTCCAGCCATGGTGCATTGGAAGTGCGCTGTCCTGGTGGCCGCCGTGTTTTGTCCCCAAGCACAGTAAAAGGCATCTCCCACGTGCAGTAACGTGAGCTTCCCCTTTTGTTTCCACAGATGGCAGGAAATCCAGACCAGCAGGAGGACAATGTTGACGAGCAGTACCAGGAAGAGGGAGAAGAGGAGGTAGGAGGATTGTGTGTAGGACACAGATGAGCTCGCGCGGTCTGTCACTCACTTTAGCCTCGGCAGGACTGACTGCTGCCCTGTCTAGAAGTGCGGGAAGACTTGAGGAGGTCTTATGCAGAGTAAGGGAGAGTGCCTGTAAAGGAAACGGACCGTGGCACTGGTTAGGAGAGAACAAAACAGGGTGATGGAATCCATCTCTCCAGTTCTCACCAGAAATTTTCTTTTTTTTTTTTTTGGAGCGGTTTTTTCGCTATAGGGCGCGTGTGCTCGCCAGACAGACAGAGACATAGAGACAGAAAGCGAGAAATCACCCCCCCAGGAGGGATGGTCACGCCGCAATCCCTTCTCCTCCATTCTCCTCTCGGAATCTAGGGCATGCACGCACACGCGCCCGGCGTGAGTTTTAAGCCACCGGGTCCGGGACACAAACCGTGGTTGACTATGTGGGAGTCCAACGACATAGCCATTACGCTAACTGCTGGTTCCCTCACCAGAAATTTTGAACTAGGACAACATTTTGCTTTCCAAGAATGGTGGATTCTGATTGATGTGGTCTTTTATAAGAATATATTTTTTTCTCTTCTCCTTATAAATGAGAGAGAGAAGAACCACGCTCTGCACGTGGAGGGAATCTGGACCAGCCTCCGTGACGTCCTTTATGGCGGGCACCCCAGTGCCCACCTCACAGGGATGCTCCTCAGTGTCCGATGGAATGCATTGAACCTTCCAGATGTTTTCGTACATTTCTGGTCTCTGGCCTGCTCCATTATGAGAATTCAGTATCTTAATCAAATGTAACATCGAAGAGTAGAAAAACGTAAAGAGCTCAGCTAAGTAAAATGCATTTGGATAAACTTTCTTACCATTTCATTCTTAGATGACTTTTTATCGTCAACTCAGTGAGGCTCATGCCACATTTATCCAGGGGCCACACTGCTGTTATTAACGGGGAGTGCTCATCTTCACAGCCGTTTTGTGCTGTGGCACTGGAGCGCGTGGACAGCAGCAAGACGTGGGCACGTGATATGGATGAGACTAAACCGTGTGTCGTCCTCTGCAGAATAGTAAATAGCCCCCAGATTCAAGTCCTGGTACACAGCCACGTCTCGGCCAGGTATCTGGCAAGTGAGTGGCTTCAGCTCTGTGGGGAACCTGTGAGAAGGGGGACAGATGGGCTGAGCAAGCGCCCTCGCCTCCTGAGAGGTTCAGCAAGCTCGAGCTCCACGCTCACACACACGTGTCCCTTGACTCGGCCCGCTCTCTTGTTTTTCTGGCTCTTGCCCGCTTTTCAGAGCTCATGCCAAAATCCATGCTTAGACCACAGCATCGGAAAAGCATGGTGCTTCACGGCCACTGGCAGCCTCTCTAGTCACGTGCACACGTAACTGGCTTGATCTTGGTATTCTCTCTTTTCTCATCCTGCCGTTCATCTTAATCAAGACCCCGAGCTGTCTTATCACAAAGCGAGCATTAGGGGAAGTAGCAGCCTTGAATATTAAGACATTTGGCAAGAAAAAGATACTCATCGGGGCTCCTCTTGTAGCAGGATGTCTAGACTAATATTACTTTGTTTTATTATATCGGATACCAGGAGTCTTTGAGGGATTAAAAGAGATAAGGTTCACCTTGGCTTCTTTTTAAAAATTCAGAAGGGTGAACATAAAATTTTAAGCAGTATTTACTGATTATTTTTCACTTCTATGTTATCAGTTAAGGTGGACAAAAGAAAGAAGGATCAAGCATGGAAAGGAAAGGAGGAGAGAGAGAGGCAAGAGGGCGGGAGAGGCTGAGCTGGTGCCTGCTGAAGCTCACCCTCTGCCCCCTCAGGCCCTGCTCCATTCCTTGCAGGGCTGCTGAACTGGGGGACCCTTTTCCTCTTTCTGCACTTAGAACCTGGTCCTGATCCTCTCTTCCAAGCTTCCTACTCAGTCCTTAGGATGGCGTCTGTGTCCCCTCTTGCATGGACTCTGGGCTGCCCTCCTTCGTCCCTGTCAGTTAGAACTGTTGCCACATGAGCTCTCGGGGGAAGGCCGCCACACCATCCTTCTTCCCGGTGTCACTTTCCTTCCTGGGGGCTGCGCATCCCTTGTTCAGGCCGTGTTGTATCTTTCTGGTCATTCCTGAGATGATTAATTATTGATCTTCTGAGCTCCATCCATCATCTCCCGGTCTTCCTTCGAGAGGAGAGAAAAGTGGTTCAGGTCCATTCGGGCACCAGTGATAGACAGTTTTCAGCTGGCTGCAGCGGGGAGGCGAGAGAAGGCAAGGTGGTGTGGACGTGCTCACATGGGTGTGGAAGTGTGTCTGAGATGCTTCTGGAAGCATGAAAGCCTCGGAGCGCCGTGTAACAGTGAGCCACTTCTATCTCCATTGAACCTCAGGGCCTGCTGCTGCCATTGCTGGTCAGACTTGGTTCTGTCGGTGTTTGCTCCCAGGAAGGATTGCATCCTGTCGGGTCTATACCTGCTCAGAGGACCCACCTATCATACTGATGTCTTGACCTCTAAGAATAAAGGAGCCAGGCTAGCCCATAGTCTGGTTAAGGCCCACCAAGCAACTGGTGTCCTGGACCCGGCAGCTTGAGAAGCATGCTGGACGTATATACCTGTGCACCCAAAATCCTGAAAGGGGGGAGAGAAAAGGAGAAGCAACTGTGGCATAATTGTACCCCTTTGGGGTGCCATCTTGCTTTCCCTCTCTTTGTTTCTCTCTGGTGAGGACACATACCCTCTGGCAAATTAAATAAGGAATAGAGGAATCAAAACGGTAGTACTTTTAGGAAACGTGCACCATCCCTGCCTTCCGTTATCTTAGTGCAGCCGAGTTATCTTTCTAAGACATATAAGCTCTAACTGTTGGCTAAGCGTTCTTTTTGTTTGTTTGTTCCAATTTAGAGTGGAAGGCATTCGTATTGTGATCCTTTCCTCATGATACTTGTATTACAGATATTTTATCTACTAAGTAGCAAACAAGGCAAGTTATAACAGTACCAAAAAGTGTGGTGTGGGCTTCAAAATTGTTAGATGTTCCAAAAATACATATATAGATGAAATGAGTGTTTAGAAAATTCAGCTGCCTTAACTTCTGTAGTGTAACCAAGAACAGATCAACTTGCACACTCTCAAGCAAGCAAGCCCCACTGTTAGTCCACCTTCAGTGCTCAGGTGTGTACTCACACTTAGAGAGGACTGCCAGCCGTGACTAGCACAGGTGACAGACACCACTGCATCAAGAAGTGTTTCAGCTGGCAGCACCTCTCCTATCAAGGGTCGGCAAGCAGTGGCACCCATTGTTCTAGCTGGTGTTGCCCACGGTCTTTCCTTGGCCATATTCCGCCCACCTCTTTGGAGCCCACCATTACTGACTACGTAAGCTTCAGCTGGCTCCTGGCTCAGCCCGTCACATCCTCAGTGTGTCAGAGAAAGGTGTTGACACATACAGGGCAGGGAAGTGAGCCCAACCGACCTCGAACTCAAGAATATCTAATTTGACCATTTATTAAAGTTTGTCACATGGGACACATTTATAAAATGCCTAAAACATTACATTTCAGAGGGTGAAAATGGGTAATGAGAAGCAGTGATGGGAAATCTTTGACAAAACATTGTGTTGGCTTTAGACAGATAACGTGGGGGTGTGGAAGACGACATTAGTATCTACATTATAAAAGAACAACATTTGGCTTCTGATTGTTGATCTAGGCGTATTTTAAATGTCAGCCAGAAATTCCATATCATTTTTCTCACTTTCAGTAGCATATCTAATTTGACCATTTATTAAAGTTTGTCCCGTCACATGGGACACATTTATAAAATGCCTAAAACATTACATTTCAGAGGGTGAAAATGGGTAATGAGAAGCAGTGATGGGAAATCTTTGACAAAACATTGTGTTGGCTTTAGACAGATAACGTGGGGGTGTGGAAGACGACATTAGTATCTACATTATAAAAGAACAACATTTGGCTTCTGATTGTTGATCTAGGCGTATTTTAAATGTCAGCCAGAAATTCCATATCATTTTTCTCACTTTCAGTAGCACTTTTAGGATAGGTTTTAATTACTTTTGCCCCAAACATGAAGAATATATTAGTAGAATAATAGTGTATATCTAAAAGTCTACTCTCTGTCTGTCTGGAAAAATTACAGAAATGTTCTGAGTTCTCTAAAGAGTAATTTAAATCAGTGACTCTTAGTCAGGATTACATTGGCAACTGGTAAACCAACTATATGTTTTTCTATAGAATCCTAAGAGTAGAGATGATATGGGTGACTCTGGCCAGAGATACTCTTAACCCAGCATCCCCATTACACAAGGAAGTCGTTCTCAGCCTTTGCTGTGGCAAAGAGTCACCCGAAGGAGTTCATGACAAATACACATGTGGATCAGACCTTTGAGTGCACGTTTTATCTGTTTGGGACCTAAAATCCATCTTCTTCACAAGCTCCTTACTCCCACCCCGTGCTAATGCTGACGATTCAGGAACATACAGTTAAGAGAGATAAATAGTCTTAGGGCAGGAAACTGATGGTAGATTTGAAAAGTCTCAACCTCCTGGACTTAACCTGCAGAATGCTACGTTTTATCCAGTGGGCTTTGCAGTGGACAAGTTGGTAGTTGCAACAGAGACCTCAGGACCCAGGAAGCCTAAATGCTTAAGATCTGACCTTTCACAGCTTGTCAACTTACTGACCGCCTCTGGCTGTCGTAGTCATGTGTATATATATATATATATATATATACACACACACGCACACATATATACATGTGTGTGCGTGTGTGTGTGTGTGTTTTCCCTACCATGCTGCTTATTTTCAAGGCAGTTCTTGCCGACTCTTAACTAACCTGTGTTTAGTATTCACAAATAATATGTTTTCATCATTAAGCCTGTAAAAGACACACCTTTGTTAATTGAAATTGACTGGGACACTTCAGCGATTTAATAGTGTTTCATTTAGTCAGACCTTAATTTGCACTGGAATAAGTGCTCCGTTGTTTTCATCCTGATGTCCTGTGGAAGGTGACTGTGAGGTTTTGTCACTGAGGGCAGAAGAGTCGATATGGACCACTGATAACCCTGTCGGGGAGGCAAGGGTATCCCTGACTTACTCCATCAGGACATGTAAACAGAAGAGGTGGCCCATGTCTCTGTTCTCGAAATGTGTCGTTTAGGAGCTTATGGTTCTAGCTGACATAGGGCTGGTTAGAAGTGGTTCCCAGAGCCGTAGATCTGTCTTGGGCACCTTTGAAGAGTCACCTTTGTAGGTGCCTGACAGGCCAGGTTCCGTCCGAAGCTCCTCTGGGAGGCTGCGTGCGGTTCACTCCTGTCTCACCTGCGCTGGACACCTTGAGGCAGGACTTTATATGTTTCTCCTTAAGTATGACATATGCACAATTTCTTTCCTTCGCCCATTTCTTGGATTTTCAACAAATACCACCCACCCTCCCCAAAAATTATGTAATTTTTGTTTTCAAAAGAGGGCTTACTCTTTTACCATGATCCTAGGTGAGGTTTGGTTTTACCAGCACACCCTACATTATGCTTAACTGATGTTGAGCAGTTTTGTTTTCTTTAGTTTTCCCCAATATATTCAGATATCTTAAATCTTATAGCGTACTTTTGGGTTTCAAAATATTGGGTTGTTATAAAAGTCATAATGTATTTTTCTATGATTTTTCTGTGCAAAAATGCACCATGACTTTTCCAACAACCCAGTAGCAGACAAGTTAGCGTTTTACCCTATATTTCTGTTAGATGAAGTCAGTAAATCAAAATTATTTAGCAAAAGTATTTGGATATGTTCTTTGAATTGCATTTTCAGATAAATAATTGGTATGAGAGAAATAGTAATCATCATTCATAAAGGAGACTGCTTGAAAGAGAAATGTCACGTGTGAACACTGAAGTTCAGTAGAGCTTACAACAGTCTAGTAGACTGTTCCATGAAGAAATCGAAGTGATTATGTTCTATTTTCTATTATTTTAGCCAGAGAAATTTAATTTTGAGTTTTAAATAGATACGTTAGATTTCTCGGGAACCAGCAGTTAGCGTAATGACTATGTCGCTGGACTCCCACGTAGTCGACCGCGGTTCGTGTCCCGGACCCGCAGGCTTAAAACTCATGCCGGGTGCGTGTGCGTGCGTGCCCAAGATCCCGAGAGGAGAATGGAGGAGAAGGGATTGTGGCGTGACCATCCCCCCTGGGGGATGATTTCTCGCTTTCTGTCTCTATGTCTCTCTCTCTCTGTCTGGCGAGTGCATGCGCCCTACAGTGAAAATCTCTCCAAAAAAAAAAAGAAAATAGATACATTAGATTTCTTTTATGTTGTAAACAGGCAGTGGTGTCTACCTTTGTTTTTTTTGTGTGCCTTTCCAGAGATAATTTTTGTATTCGTTTGTTCATTGACTAGTTCATTTGACAATATTTATTTAGCAATTCTGGTACCTGATATTCATCTAGATATTGAAGACTGTGCATTGAATAAGAAAGCTAAATTCTGCCTTCATGGAACTTACATTGTATCAGAGCTTTCAGATTTCTACAGTTCCCTTATTTGAAAAAAGGGAAATTTAAAATTTTATATTTGCAAGGTTAACTCCTATTGAAGAAATCAGAAATTTAGACCTACTTGTTCAAGATCCAGAATCAATCACATTGATTATTATAATAGATGTAGTATACATTTTTGCACGCCTAACAGAGAAACCGAACGTTTGATTTGATCTTTTCTCAGACTAATTTTTAAGTTTTTTTTCCTGCCATTTTGAGTAAATCTTTTGGAAATTGAAGTATGTTCTCGTAAGTGCTTAGATGAGAAAAGTGTCACACAGTACCTCTGGTTTGTTTTAGGTGCAGGAAGATTTGACCGAAGAGAAAAAAAGGGAATTGGACCATAATGCTGAAGAAACCTATGGAGAAAATGATGAAAATGTACGTGTGAGACGCACCTTTATTTGACTGTGTGTGTGTGGTGTGTGCACGTGTGCATGCAGACACATGTGTAGGACATGTAAGTGTAGCTGGAATGTACCGGTGGGTAACAGCACCTTGGAGACACCACTGAATTGAACAGGCCTGCTAGAATTAGGAGAAATTGCAAGCCCGTGTCTGTTACTCCAAAAAAAAAAAGAAAATAGATACATTAGATTTCTTTTATGTTGTAAACAGGCAGTGGTGTCTACCTTTGTTTTTTTTGTGTGCCTTTCCAGAGATAATTTTTGTATTCGTTTGTTCATTGACTAGTTCATTTGACAATATTTATTTAGCAATTCTGGTACCTGATATTCATCTAGATATTGAAGACTGTGCATTGAATAAGAAAGCTAAATTCTGCCTTCATGGAACTTACATTGTATCAGAGCTTTCAGATTTCTACAGTTCCCTTATTTGAAAAAAGGGAAATTTAAAATTTTATATTTGCAAGGTTAACTCCTATTGAAGAAATCAGAAATTTAGACCTACTTGTTCAAGATCCAGAATCAATCACATTGATTATTATAATAGATGTAGTATACATTTTTGCACGCCTAACAGAGAAACCGAACGTTTGATTTGATCTTTTCTCAGACTAATTTTTAAGTTTTTTTTCCTGCCATTTTGAGTAAATCTTTTGGAAATTGAAGTATGTTCTCGTAAGTGCTTAGATGAGAAAAGTGTCACACAGTACCTCTGGTTTGTTTTAGGTGCAGGAAGATTTGACCGAAGAGAAAAAAAGGGAATTGGACCATAATGCTGAAGAAACCTATGGAGAAAATGATGAAAATGTACGTGTGAGACGCACCTTTATTTGACTGTGTGTGTGTGGTGTGTGCACGTGTGCATGCAGACACATGTGTAGGACATGTAAGTGTAGCTGGAATGTACCGGTGGGTAACAGCACCTTGGAGACACCACTGAATTGAACAGGCCTGCTAGAATTAGGAGAAATTGCAAGCCCGTGTCTGTTAGGAGCTGGTCGGCACTGATCCTCAGGGGATCTTGTCACTTGTTTCTTTCCTTCAACAGTGAGTATCACTCTTTTTTCTTCTACTAAGGCCGATGATAAAAACAATGATGGAGAAGAGCAAGAAGTTCGAGATGACAACCGCCCCAAAGGCCGAGAGGAACACTACGAAGAGGACGAAGAGGAGGAGGAAGATGGAGCTGCCGTTGCTGAGAAATCACATCGAAGAGCTGAAATGTAGCCATGCCCAGTGCCCAGACAGAGTTCTACCCACGGGTGCTTCTCACGCTGCTCGACAATAAATCTGCCTACTGAACTCTAGGATATTTAATTACAAAAAAAATTCAGAATTTAGACATTTTTTAACTTTTGTATTAGAAATGCTCTTACATTTATATGAATATATTTTGATAACCTAGGTTAGAGCTTCTTTTATATTCAATCTAGACATGCACAAGAAAAAAAAAAGCCAATAAAGCAAACTATAGCTTCTGAAACTCATTTTTCATAGATGACGTGTTGTTGGAAAGAAAACTGATGTTGTACATGTGTCTTCTTGTTACTTTTCTGTCTTCTAGTTACCAGGTACTCTCTTGTTTGATAAAATACAGGAGTTACGGATAGGAGGGACTGCCAGGTGCCATGGAGACTTTGAGGAGGAGGCCAGTTTGCTAATTGCTTGCCCTTCCAGGGTCCTTAGGCATAGTTCTGATAAAATTCTCACCAGCCTGCTTATCTGGAATGAGATCAAGCTACACAGTGGTATTTCCTTGTATAATTAGAACCATTATTTTGTTACAGAGTAAATATATTGTTTTTAGACTCTTGAGATCAGTGAGAAGTGATTGGAAAATCAGTTCTGTTTGAAAGAAATTGAATTTAAAAGTGAGATAGTACTAAAGTTTACATGGCAATATCCTGGACTTGATCAGATATTTCAGTAGTCTAACAAGTTATGACACCTCAACCTATTAACTTTTTGGAAGGACTAATGGCTTGTTTAAAGACTAATTCAGTTTGTATGTGTAGGGTTTAAATGAAGAGCCATTCACAAGTTTTTTCCCTGAATTGAGATCCTTGTTTCAGTTTCTAACTCTCTGTAGCAATATGCATTTCTCCTTTAAGCTCTGTGCCTCGCCATGTAATCACTTTGATGACAACTACAAATATGAAAGCATACCAGAATGCTCAGTTTGGTAACATTATTTTTCAAAACTTTAAGGCGAAATATGTATGTGGTAATGTAATAGACCCTAATGACTTCTGTTTGCTGGGATTGGACCTGACTTTTGCCTATGTATAAGGCATCTTAATGACTATGAATTATTAATTAGCCCCTTAAAATAAGAAAATTAGAAGTCAAAAATATCCCTTGAATTGGAGACATATTTTAGTTGCAAGCATAAAATACTTCAAATATATAGAGCTAGGTAATATAATTCATGTGTGTGTAGTTTTGTAATAATGCTCTCAAATTAGTAAAAATATTTCATTTTCTACCATTGTCGTATGAATGTAATTTTATTTTTTAATAACCATGCCTAGGTATGGTTCTGATTATCCCAGTTGAGTGATTGTGTTAAGTATGCATAAGAATGTTTTGTTCAAATGTGTTTTGGATTTCCAATAATCATAAATCAAATTTTACCTTTATGTATAAAACCCTTTATGTAATGTAAAATGTATAATATTGTACATAATATTCAGAATACAATTATTTTGGTAAATTAGTTTGTATTTTTAATGTCCCAGTTGCGGTATTTAATTATTTGAAGCATATTGAAACTTGGTAATAGTCAATAAAGCTATAAAAAGCAAGTGGTAAATCTTTTAAAGTATGTGATTTCTTATTAGTGTCTGATCACCTAACATTCCTCAGTTCTTTTGCATGAAGAGAAAACTTTAAGAGGTAACAGTATAAATTAATGAATGAGAAAATACCTTTATTAACATCTCTCCCTTTTACCTTTCTCTATTTGGATTGGCATGTGATTTTCTCCCCTTTTTCTTAAAGACAGTGCTGGGGCTGGCAGATGGCATGGTGGCCAAGGTGCTGAATTCCCACATGGCAAACCATGGTTCGGGTCCTGGACCTGGCACCTTGCTCATGTTCCCTCTCTCTGTGTGTCTCTCTCTGGTCAAAGTGAAGAAGAAGGAGGAGGAACAGGAGAAAGAGAAGAAAGAAGAGGAAGAAGACAAGAAATAAAATTTAAAAAAAAAGAAAAGACATTGCTATGGATTTTATTTAATATGAGCTACTTGTGGGGGAAAAAGTGGGACAGATAATATATGACAGTGTCGTGTGCACACACCAGGGAAAAAATGAGCTTAATCTCCCCAGTAAAGCAATAATCACATATTTTGCTCTTGGGTAGAGTGACATGTGAGGGGGCCATTCTAACCAATGCTTGGAATAGAACTAACTTAGTCTGAGCATATCTGCATTAATGAGTAAAATAATAGGACCATACAGTGTCACTTTACCTTGCCAATTAGGGTACGGCTTTTGGTATAAGCAAAAACTCAAAGGACTTAGTACCAGTGACATAATAAGAAAGGTGAAAAGTCACATTTATTAGGGCTGAGTACAGTGCAGTATTATAGTAGAGATAATGATTGGTTGTTTGCATGAGTGATTGGGAAAGAGCTAGAAGAAAGAGCAGAATGTTAGTGCCATGTACCGGTTGACCAGTTGTTCTGTTTTAGAAGGGACTGTTATAGACAATCATCAAATGCCTTTGAAGTGTAAAAAGGTATAGATTATCTTTAATCCCCACAGTGGTTTATTTTATTTAGTTATTTGGTTTGTTGTCTTTTGCCATAATGCATGCACTAGCCAGAGAGAAAAAGAGACAGAGAGAAATCACCCACCAGGGTGAATGGCCATGCCGCAATCCCTTCTCCATTCTCCTCTTGGGATTTTGGTCAGGCATGCACATGCTCATGCCTGTCATGTTCTTCACACCACTGGTTCCAGGACTTGAGCAGCACAGTGGCCATGTGGGATCCAGTACCTTAACCACCATCCCACCTGCTGGTACCCAACAGTGCTCCATTACGGTGATGGGGCCTCCTTACATGGAGCACCTTTGTCTTCTGAAGCATTGACATCATTTAACTTTTGAGTTTATGCTGGTTTTGTTTTCAGTTCTGTTGCATCATCGTGTGGCCATTCCGTGGCAAATTGCACAGCCATTTCGAAGAGGGGACAAGCGCTTTCTGTTCCTGAGTCATCCTCCTGTGGCCTTTCTTTACTGTCTGTTCCTTGTTTTCTTCTGAACATCCTGGCTACTCTCTCATTTTATGTAAGCTGCCCTTACATATTGGTGGTTGGGTTTTGTGCTGGAGGTCTTTTATCTGCTTAACTTTCTTCCCACCTACGTGCTATACACATTTCCTGATCCATTTCCTTAACTCAGGATTCTGCATCTCATCCTACCACAAATTCAGTTTTAAAAACTGGGTTTTCCTTGTTTATCACTTAAAATCTACTTATTTTTCTTGGTTCTATGTCTTAGTTCAATAACTCCCCCCAAAACATGATGTTTTGATTCTGTCTTCTTTTCTTTCCCTAACCCTGCTACCTTGGTCAAGATTCAAAATATCTTCAGATTTGCCTCCTTTTCTTCATCCCTACCTCCTTGACCCCCATTATCTTTTACCTAAACTATGTAACAGTTCTCTTAACACATTTCCTCATTTATGCCCTCCTGCCAATCCCTAAAATCCATGCCAGTGCAGTTTTTTCTGAAGATCACATTACTCCGTTGTGAAAGTATTTAATAAATTACTGTTGCCCATAGCAAAAATCCCAAACCTGTTAACATAATTTTTTATCATCAGCAAATAACTTTTCATTTTTGTGTCAATTAGATGTTTGTTTTTTTCCCCATTACTCACCCTCTATTTCTCTCCCTACCCTATACTCTCTGTAGTACATATGGTTGCCCTCCCTGCTATTACAACTTCCAACCTTTCAGGTTCTGCTATCGCATGCAGACATTCGGTATATATTGAGTGGAGACATACAAAGACTGTCTTTCATAGTCTGACTTGCTTCGCTTAGCATTAAGTCTTCCATACTTGTCCACTTGGTATCAAATGTCAAGGTCTCATTTTTTTTTTTTTTTTTGAGAGATTTTCACTGTAGGGCGCGTGCGCTCGCCAGACAGACAGAGAGACATAGAGACAGAAAGCGAGAAATCACCCCCCAGTGGGGATGGTCACGCCGCAATCCCTTCTCCATTCTCCTCTCGGGATCTTGGGCACGCATGCACACGCGCCCGGCGTGAGTTTTAAGCCACCGGGTCCGGGACACGAACCGCGGTCGACTACGTGGGAGTCCAGCAACATAGCCATTACGCTAACTGCTGGTTCCCAAGGTCTCATTGTTTTTTATATCTCGGTAGTATTCCATAGAGTGCATATGCCACATTTTTTTCAATCCACTGTTTATTTTTGGACATTTTGGTTGATTCCATGTCGTAGCAATTGTAAATAATCCTGCAGTAGACATAGATGTGTGTTTTTCCAACTGACGGATTTCCTACCTTCTGGGTAGGTACCTAGGAGTGGCCCCATTGTGCCTCTTCAGCCTCATACCTCACACTCTAATACTGAATCATCCTAAGTGGGATTCAGCTTTATCAGAGTCCTCATGTCTTGGTAACTAACTTTGATCCTAGTCGTTGGGTGAGACATTGACCTTGGCAAAGCTAGTAATACTATCTCACATCCTTGGACAAAGTGATCCAGGATGGGCGACTCACCCACAATGTACTAATTTTATTCCTTCTCTGGGATTTGTTCGGTTGGAAGATAAATTGCCTCATGCTACATCTATATACATTGTGATAGCTTTTGTAGACTATCTCATCAAGGATATTTGCATAATAAGTGGTCTTGGAAGTTAAAGATATCATCTCCCTGGAACGAGCAGATTTGTATCTGGTTGTATGATATTAATAAAGATAGTGTCTCCCTTTGGGGCAAAGTTTGGACAGGTTTGCTAATAGTTCCTTTATGAAGTGAAAGTATGCTTTCTGGTTTTTTTTTTTTTTTCTTTAGAGAGATTTTCACTATAGGGTTCATGCACTCTCTGGAGAGACAGAGATACAGAGATGCCCTGTCTGGTTGGGCTGTTCCACGTTGTCCTCCTAACCCTTGGGACCTAAGGGAGACAGATGAGACTGTGAGGCCCTCACTGCCTGTGGTGCCCAGAAGAATGTGGTCAGTCTTCTCTCCAACTCAGCAGGCTAGGTAGGGCCTTTTGCCAATACCCATGAAACTGTAACCAGATCATTTTTAGCCAGCAGCAAACTTGTAAAATCTCATACCCTGAACAATTCTTGACATTGTTGCAAGCTGAAGCAAACAGAAAATAGCACTTCTCTTTCTAACGGCAAAGTTACTGCATAGTGAATTCACGGCTTCTGGAATTCGTTTCCTTAGTTGTATAAAGAAAATAGTCCACACAAAATAGAGAGCAACTATAACCCAAAAGAAAAGCAAAAGGCAGAGGCAAAAACGCAATGCATGGTAGCATATTTCCGGTCCCAGTATTTTGCCACAGGTACCTGTAGGTCATTCATGTGCTAATAAGTTCTGCCTTTTCATCGGACCTAGCTGGAGTTCTGTCACTCACCACCGAGATTCCTGACTAATATGTACCTCAACAGCATTCAATTCCTTTAAATCACTGTACTGTCTTGTGTCATGGTATATTTGCTACCTACTTTTCCCAGAAACAATATTCAGCTCTAATTCACTCTCCTCTCCTTTGCTTGACTGAATACTGTGGATACCATCTTAGATACCAATTCCTTTGGGAAGGGTATCCCTCCCTACCACCCTCCCCTGTCTAGACTACATACGTTTTCTGTCTTCCTATAGTATCTGGATCATCTATTTCATGTCACAGTTTATATATATCTAATAAATTAATAAATACATATATATATATACACTAAGTAAATAAATAAATATATATACACACACACATATATATATATTCTAGGACAGGATATTAACACAACAAGGAAATACTTTTAATGAACTTTTAGACATACTGCCTTAAATGTAGCAAGTTTTAGTAAATAATTCCACTTTTTTTTTTAAGTACTCTCATTTCTTAGACCCTTCTTTGAGGTGAGAGAATCTGTGATAAAGTTTTAAAAATTATGAAATTAAATTACGAATACTCATTCTTTAGTATACTCCAAAACTTTTCTCTAGAAGGTCAGCTAGCAAATCTTTTAGTCTTTTCAGACCATGGAGCATCTCTTAAAATTACTCAATTGGGCCATTGTACTGTGAATGCAGCCAGAAATAATAAGCAAAGGAATTGGCACGGCGGTGTTCCAATAAAACTTTATTTACATGAACAGGAAGCAGGCCAGAGTTGCCCTCCAATCTATAGGCACCTGAGCTACAGGTCCCAGACACTTTTGTCACAATGATTATTTCATTACAATATAGAGGATTTTGATATCTTTAGGTATTAATGCTTTCCACTTCTTTGCTCTAATCCCTTTTAACTGGGCGAGCACTCAACATTATCTTAGCTGCTATGTGTGTACATTATTTTAAGTATCAGGGAATGAAAGACTTTTGTCCTTTGCTCTCTCGGTTGACCTTGTTCTCCCCATTCCCTGTATGTTACTAATGGAGCTTGAAATTAAACGTCATTTCTGTTTGCCTGTTAACACATACACAGCATTCCCCATAAAGTACATGTCTTTTAGAGGACTGGCATTGGCTCGAACTACATGAACTGACATCTTTTGATCTGGTACAGCCTTTCTTCTTTAAGATTAAAATACGGGTG